CTCAAGGAAGCGAGAAAAACTAAATTACTCTTCCTCCACTTCGTTGACCACCCTCAAAGGCATCCTGTTTTCAAGAAAATGTTCTTTGACCATCCTGTAATCAAATTGTTCCCCTCGGCTCGCGCCACGCAAGGGACGTATTAAAGAGGAAGCCCTCCACCTCTCCACCCCCTACAGCTCCGGGTCAAGACGTCGGCGGCGGTGGCGTGACGTGGCGGAAGTGGTACCGGACCTGGCCCTGATTTCCGGTTAGTTCAGGTGTCCACTAGGTCTACAATGGCGGTAATTTCATCCTGACCGTTTGTTTGAGTAAGGATTCCCTTTCAGCTGGCCCAATACGGGTGAAATGAGTTATGGTTTCGCAACAAGGGTTTGGTTAGGTGTTGTTTACTGTCTAATTGTAGGTAAACATATTGTTTACAAAGAGTGGTGGTGTTGTCAGTCGTGTGGGCTACTCGAAGTTTTGGAATATCTCTAAGAAAATTGTATTAAGTATACTGAGTCAGCAAAATGGTGGGGTTTAATGTTAATTATTTAAATGGATTGCGTTCAAGCATTGACTTTTAGATACTAAAGTAGAGATCACATCTATATGAACCAGGTGTAGCCATTTTTTTTATTCCAATGGAAATATAAAATAGTTGAACGAGGCTCTCGTAGAGTACGCTATTGTCGAATTTCTTTTTCTCCTTTAGCTTTTGGTACGATGACTTATTGGGATGTCCGGAAGTAACATGGGAGATAACAGCTCTATAGTAAGTTGACCAATCAGTTTGCTTAGTTAAAAGTTGCCACATTCGAAGGAAATTTGCACTCAGTTGGTGGCCCAATTTAACATTCATCGCTAATCTAGACCTGGCTACAGCTCTAACATGGGAGTGTAATGTATACTTCTATCAATAATCAAAGTTTCCAAGTTAAAGATGGACTTAGAAATAAATTACCTACACAGAGAGGTCCACTAAATGCTTTCCTAGAGATCATGATCCGAATAGCTTAAATCATGCAACTGCTTAAGAGTAATTTTTCATCTATAACGTCGAGATCGACAAAACGAAAGAAAAATACACAGGTAAAGGGATGAAAACCAATACAACTGATGTGTGCCGGCGACACGGTGTATTGAAAGCCGACACTTTAAATGTCTTTTGCCACCTTGCGGTTAAAGTTCGTTTGATCTGCCGCGCGATTCATTGCTCGATCTTTGCCGCGATCGCCGGCGGATGTTGTGCTCTAGACTATAGGTAAAGTGTAGAAGGAGGATGTTGAGGGAGTTACCTTCTGGTCGCACCGAACATTTGATGTCGCCGCCGTACAGGTAAATCGGATGTTCTGTAGGATTTCTCTAGCTAGGGATGAAGACGAGAAAAGGATGTACGTTTGGAAAAGTGCATTTTTCAAACAGAGGAAGATATGGTTGGGATTGGAAAGTGAGGTAAATAAATTTAAAACTGAAGGTAGTATAGATGTTTAAATTTTCATAAACTTTTATATTTAATTATATGAAAAAGTTTCATTTGTACTCATTTTGTTTCGTAAAAACTGTACACAGAAAAAAGGGAAGGTTTATTTATTTTATAGAAAGCAATGCCTGACTATAAACCCTTTGTGGCGATAATGTTACAACGATACAAGTAAAAAAACGTTACGGTAAAAGACTTAATACAACTTACTACTACAACTAACATATTAATATCTCACACTTTATGCATTTTCAGAAAACTGCAAATTAAGAATGGGGCCAATATAATATTTATCAGAGTGCAATAACTAAGAATATTTGGGGAGAAATACTGTATGGAGTCCCGTTGAGATTGCAGTACAGTCGATAAGGAAGACTTCTGTTTCGTCGTCTACTGCAGAGTCACCTGTAGGAAACGAAGTGAACTACAGCGGACCTGACTATTGACAGAACTTGTATGAGGTTGAAGAAATAGTGTTTGGTAACATTTATTTTACTGATACAGTATGTGTAAACTATTATTTTTACTAGTGAACCTGTGCGGCTCAATGCCCCGCAAAATAACATATGAATTTAGAAAACAAATTCGTCGTATTATATATTGACTCGACGACGAAAATTAAATAGTAATAATGAAGCCTTGGAAGGGAAGCAGTCCAGCCATTTTCTAGCTGTATGTGTATTATATTTAGTAAATTAATAAGTGTTCAAGTTCAAGTATGTTATAGGCAGCAAGCAAGGTTTTAGGGTAGTTATTTTTAAAAGATTTTTAAAACACATTTAACAAAACATTTTATTATATCAAACCAATAGGCCTATGTAGCATATTTTGAGGGTCATAAAAATGCTGCTTGAAGAAAACACACTTTAAAAAAAAAACACTAAAAAACGATATTTTATCACAAAAGCACTTCCATGAATACTACTATTTTAGCCAGTTAACTTCAGGAAGATTACCCTGGTCAGAGTTTTCTGTAACGAATATGCGTATCCTATTAAAAGATGTAGCCTTACTTAAAACAACATATAATATAGTTGCTCATGACTGAAATTGGTCTGGTAAAGAACAGCGCTGCAAATGCCAAAGGTAACAGAAATTAGCATCTGACAATTAATATACTGACAATTAATTACCTGACTTGTCAAGTTCATGTAGTAATTCATTAATACTGTTAGTTTATAAAGAAAATTAGATAAAAGTTACTTGGCTTGGTGCTTTCATAACTGCAAACTCAAAATACACCCACAAGTAAAAAAGAATCAAAATATTGGCTAAAAAAATCTATGTTTGTGTAACAACATTATTCACATGAAGTAGATGATTTGTTTGATTTGACGATCAGCTGTTTAGTTTCAAATGAATTAATAATGTCAAAGATTTGTGATTTAAATACATAAATTATTATAGTAAAGGTAAAGTTTTCTAAATCATGGTAACTTATTCTCCACTAAATTTTACTATTCCCAGCATTAAAATAAAGCAGTAAAATCCATTATGGGTAAACTTTAAGGTACACAATCCTTGATTGAAATGTAGTAGGTATACATTAAGAGTCATAATACACAGCAATTATTATGTAGTAGACTTTGACTATTTTCAAGTAACAAACATATGTTTCTGTAAATAAAAATGATCTCCCATGTTATCCTTATGGAGAAATACGAAACTTTAAAGGGCCCCAGGGCCTCACTCTATAATTATTTCCCTAAAAAGAAAGTTTCCTGCACAACTTCACGTTACGCTCTTTCCAATGACACCAAAAACATGTCAATCGGTTCAGTAGTTTCGGAGGAGTAATTGTCACAAAAAAACTGCTTGCGTATTAAATAAGTACGAGAGGTCGTCCAGTGGTCGAAACTCGACCAAAAATATGTAATGTACTCACTTAACTATTTTCACCCCACACTGTAAATAAAACATGTGATTGGAGTTTCCTCCATTTGTTTTGATTTTCTGTTTATATTTCGTTGTTATTTCGTAACCAGCATAGCAACGCATAAGATCCATGTTAATTTTTTAAAACTTTTAAACTTATTTTTTGTGCTTATCTTTGAGCCTATTTAAATTTATAAAGGGATTCTGCACACCTACAGGAAAATAGCTTTCCAACGGTATGCGTAGATTTTCCCTACGATGCACACGAGCTGAGAAAAAAGGTTTTAAAGAAACATGCTTGCCTATTAATATATAGATAGATAGATGCTTGCTACAGTTTATCTATTTCTTGGCATTAAGTATTGTTGGCGTTATAGCAGACAGAATGTATTGTACACTGTAGACGTAGACCTATGTGTGGGCTTCCTTGATATCACAGAAAACATACTACTATTACCGTAATAGTAATATGTTTTCTGTGTTGATATTGACATTTGATCAATTATTGTGTGATTAAAATGTGGGTCTCATCTTTTAGTATACATATATTTTATCATATATTTTATCTATCTACGTAGAGGTGTATAGTCAATGATTTCATGTTGTTTCTTATCGAGTTTCTTCGATTTTCTAAAATATCTACTGGTATCAACCACTGCATACAATTGAAGCAAAACTAAACTTCATCTTGTGAGTCTAAATTAAGAATTTTAAAAATCTATTGGTACCTGTAACAAAAGTAAAAAAAAACTTTTCAGAAATATTTGTAAAAATTACTTTAGTCGACCAATTTATTTTAGTTATTTAGGAGATAGATTTCAATGCCGTTTTAAAATAGGCAGCGCTGTTTATTACTTTTGCAGTTTGATCACCGGTACTACTTGTTTACAGAAAATAGTTGCTTTGGAACCACCAGTTAAAGATATAGTTAAACCACTTTTAACTAGAACTCTCGTTTATTATTGATTTAGGAATATTTTATGAACTCATGCTAGAAATATAAATCAAATCTTAATCGTAAGGATCCGCGAATACGTCATCATTCCATTCGTATTTCAGGAAATTATAACGCTTGCATAAAATAAAATAGTGTAATTATATATTCCCCTGTAAATTTATCAGTGTACGGAGCAGGTAGCAAAATAGTTTAAAGTATGGATCTGTGTGATATATTTAGATTGCGTTTTAATGTTTTCTGTTAATGTATCTCATGTTATTTCACGAGCTTCAAATTACTTAAGTCAGATAAAATATTTGTTTATAGGAGTAAACTATTGCGTTACATGAGATCAACCAAACTGGGTGCTCAATGTTGGAAATTGAGTTAATTTTATATAGTATAAATTCAATATTAATCAACATCCAATATAATTATTTATTAGGCTTTGTTTTTAATTAACAGATGGTTTATTTTAATTTATTTAAACAATTGAGAAGAGTTGTGTTAAGAATTTAAGAAAGTGATTATGAACATAACAATTTAGTTAAAGAAAAATGTTATAAAATATTTGTTCTTTATCAGAATTAAATCAGTTCTTTATTATAGATAATATTTTGTAAAAGTTATTTATTTCACACGAGTTCTAACATAGTGGCGACCGTGACAGGATATTTTTATAGTTAAAATTCAGATTTAGGACTAAGCTTATATTTTACTTTACAATGGATAAGCTGAAGTCATTAAAGACAAAAAGGACTCAACTAAGAAGGACTTTTACAAAGTGTAGTAATGAAATGGATAAATTACTGGCAGAGGATATTAAAGATGAAGCAGCAATTAAAAGTAATCTAAACAAGTTGCAAGATAAAGCTGATAGGCTTTTTAAGCTAGATGAAGACATCGAGGAAGCCTTGTTTGAAGATCCTGCAACAACGGAAGAGGACTTAGAAGCTGAGTTTGATACTACAGAATCTTACAGAGACATGTTATCTTCAATGAGAGCTAAGTATGACCATTTCATTATTCAGGTTGGCCTAAGCCAACAGTCAAGAAGTGAAGTCGGGGATACTGTTCACAGTCTTAAATTAGTATCTAAGAAGGGGTTAAGTCTACCTAAATTACAATTAAACCAGTTTGATGGAGATGTAAAAAATTGGATAGGGTTCTGGGGGCAGTTTAAGAAGGTCCATGAGGATCCTGATCTAGAACCTGAGGATAAGTTCCAATACCTCATCCAATCTTTAAAGCCAGGATCATCCCCTAGGGAATTAGTAGAAAGTTTTCCCCCATCTGGAACTAATTATGTAAAGGCCCTAGAACAATTAAAAGCAAGATTTGGTAGGGATGACTTTTTAATAGAAGTATATGTGAGGGAACTGCTCAGTTTAGTGCTCCAACAAGTAACACTAAGTCCTAATACCAAACTGTGCCGACTGTATGACAAACTAGAAACACAGTTAAGGGCACTTGAAACTTTAGGAGTCACTTCAGACAAGTTTGCTTCAATGCTGTATCCTCTTGTAGAATCTGCTTTGCCCGAAGAAATATTACGAGCCTGGGAGCGGCATCGTTCAAGTAAGTTACCACACACACTCTCGACTTCTGCATTGTCAGATGATAAATCAAGTAATTTTTTACAAGAACTTCTTGATTTTCTAAAGGCTGAGGTGGAGAGTGAAGAGAGGCTGGCTCTTGCTCGTTCGAGTTTTAAATCTGCCACTTCAGGAGACAACAGCATATGCAGCAGCCCCAGGAAAATGTCAACGGTACACGAACCTCATCAGAGTGAACCTACGGTAGCAGCTCTATTGACAACTGGTACAGAGGGTCCTAGAAGGTTGGTGAGTAACTGCACTTATTGTTCTAAAGGAGGGCACAATGCTCAAGATTGTTCCTATTTTCAAAAATTAACTTTAGATGGAAGAAAGGAGCATCTGAAAAAGAAAAATTGCTGCTTTGTGTGCTTGAAGCAAGGTCACACAGCAAAAAAGTGCAAGGTGTTTGTCAAATGTCTCTTCTGTGGTAAAAGGCATTATGGGATCATGTGTAGGGACTTATATGAAAGTAGACCTCACTCTAAAATTGATGTTGACAAACCAGACTTACTGCAGCAGAGTATAACTAAGCCTAAGTCAGAGGTTCTCAGTAATTTTGGAAATGGTACAGGAGAAACTCTATTACAGACTCTATTAGTCAAAGTTGCAGATGAGAAAGGTAAAGAGTATTTGGGCAGAGTACTTTTAGATCCAGGTTCACAGAGGTCCTACATTACTAAAGACTGTGTCACTAAATTAGGTCTAAAAGAAACAGGTAGTGAAGTCATTAATCATAGTTTGTTTGGTGGGGTAAATCTAAAACAAAAATCTCATAAAAATTACCTAGTGACTCTTCAGAATGTAAATAACTCTTTCAAGATATCTATTCCTGTGACAGATCAAGAAACTATTTGTAACCATGTACCTAGGCTTAAGAGTGAAGAGTATTTTGACATCTTGAAAGAAAAGAACATTATTTTAACTGATGTAGGTGAAAATGTACCAGATGTAAAGATTTTACTTGGTGCAGATGTATTAGTGGATTTGTATACAGGAACTATCCAGAGGATTGACGACAAATTAGTTGCTATTGAAACGTACCTTGGATGGACCGTGATGGGGAAACAACCACTCAGTGGAAGTCGTAATACGTCTCTTCTAACTTTATTTTGCCAGAGTAAACCAGAATTCAGAGATCTAGGGAGCTTGGAGACAATCAGAATCAAGGGCCCTATTGAGGTGAAGCAGAGAGACTCCATTGATGCAGAAGTATTCCAACATTTTAAAGAAAATGTAAGAGTGAATGTTGAGAATAGGTACAAAGTATGTTTGCCGTGGTTGGAGTTTCCGTGGTTGGAGGGTCATCCTGAACTCCTAGACAATCATGAAATTGCAGAGAGACGTTTAATGTCATCAACTAGAAGATTAAATACCCTTAACAAATTCAACGACTATGATCAAGTCTTCAAAGAATGGTTAGAAGAAGGGATTATAAAAAATGTTCCAGAATCAGTAGAGTCAACAAAGATACATTACCTGCCGCATCACCCAGTCATAAAAGAGAGTAGCTTAACTACTAAAATACGTCCAGTGTTTGATGGGTCTACAAAGAACAGAAGATGTAATTCTTTAAACGAATGTTTTGCTCCAGGACCAAATTTGGTAAATTTAATTCCATCTAGTGTAATGAAATCCAGGAAGCAGTTGGATCGGAAAACCATGAAACATACATTGGAGATCAATCAAATATCCTGGAAGCTCGATCCTCAGAGCACCCCATGGTGGGGAGTTATGTGGAAACAACTTGAGAGAATGATGAAAACATCGAAGAGATCAAGATTTAAGAAAAGGTATCTTGCAATGCTCGTATATGTTGAAACGCAAGATAATTCCTCTTCCTCAACCTCTACAGAAACAAGAAGAGGGAAGAAGATCAAAATTCCCGAGGAAAATGGACTTGTGAACTTAAAAGAAATATGTAAATAGTTTTGTTTGAAATTTTGATCATGTAAAGCAAAATTCCAAGGTGGGGAGGATGTTGGAAATTGAGTTAATTTTATATAGTATAAATTCAATATTAATCAACATCCAATATAATTATTTATTAGGCTTTGTTTTTAATTAACAGATGGTTTATTTTAATTTATTTAAACAATTGAGAAGAGTTGTGTTAAGAATTTAAGAAAGTGATTATGAACATAACAATTTAGTTAAAGAAAAATGTTATAAAATATTTGTTCTTTATCAGAATTAAATCAGTTCTTTATTATAGATAATATTTTGTAAAAGTTATTTATTTCACACGAGTTCTAACATAGTGGCGACCGTGACAGGATAACATGTAAATAGTTTTGTTTGAAATTTTGATGAGGTAAAGCAAAATTCCAAGGTGGGGAGGATGTTGGAAATTGAGTTATTTTATATAGTACAAATTCAATATTAATCAACATCAAATATAATAATTTGTTAGTCCTTGTTTTTTTGAACAGATGGTTTATTTTAATTTATTTAAACAATAGAGAAGAGTTGTGTTAAGGATTGAAGAAAGTGATCAAGAACATAACAATTTAGTTAAAGAAAATGTTATGAAATATTTGTTATGTATCAGAATAAAATCAGTTCTTTAGTATTTAATAATTGTAAAAGTTCTTATTTCACCTGAGTTCTAACACTCAATGTGAAATGAACCTTAAAAGAAGAATAATTAATTGACATCATTAACATACTCAAACGTGGAATCAGGTATTAAACATTAAATACCCCCGCCGCAGCAAACCTGCCGACTGAGCGAATTTCCATTTGTCTGAATTGATTTTCAGTTAAATATATTTTAATAACATTAGGTTTAACGAGTGCCTAGGTTTGCTGCTACAAGGAAACTAATAAAGTGTGTTTTTGAGTAAAATATTGATAGCTTAGTACAAAATAAATAAATTTGCCAAGTTTGATCAAAATATATCCATAAACAAGCAAACTACAACATTTGACAATATTCTCCATAAGAATAACATGGGAATTTTAAATTTACAATTTCTTTAATTTTCTCCGTTACCAATAATCGAACAAAAATACTTTTATATACTAAATTATTTGTTTTTTTAAGCTCTTTAAAAAGGTCTAAAGAGAAATCGGGAAATTTTGTGTTTTGAGGGTCAAAAGTGAGAAAAACCAATTTTTACCCCATAAAACCCCCCGTAAAGCCCCGTTCTCATGGTCCGATCGTGCTGGTTCGCGAACTCATTCAAGTTTATCCCGCTTTACACCTTTAAACCAAATTTCATCAAAATCGGACAAAAATTACTCAAGTTATCGCGTTCACGGACGTATATATATATATATATATATACACACATATATAAAAATTTGAACGAATGGTGTTTTTGGCCTCTGGGGACATCAAAATGAAAAAGTAAATCAGTCCCGGGTCTAGGTCTTACCGTGCCACCTACGGTAATAGCTACTTCCCTATAGGGAAATTCGCTAATAAAAAACAGGTTTCACGATGACGGCTCCTTTCAGTATCTCAATGTTTAAGCTACTCTTCACTTAGCAAGGCGGATTCAGAGGTTTGATTATTCATCGACATTTTTTCAACAATTGGTCACACTACTTCCGGAACTAGTGACGAGGGTGCTACTTCCGTCACCGTGGCCCACATATCGAGGGTGACACTTCCGCTCACTTGTCGATAATACAAGAACAGCTGTTCGCTTCTTGTACTTCTCGGGTTGTATATTCTGTTATTACAAGCTGCTATACCCGTGCTTTGCAACGGGAATAAAATGTGACCTAGAGAGCTATTAAAGTAATTCTGATGTGTGTTTTAAAATATAGCAACTCTATGATTTAGTTTGAAAATATAAACTGATTTAAAAGTGTAGGCTAAACCTACTTACTTTCAAACCCCTACTTTTTATGTTAATAGATCCAAAAGAATATGACAACATACCTTAGTGTAGCAATAGCATTAATTGCTTCATATTGATGCTTCACGAATTACATGTTTTACCATCATTCTTCAACTTTAGTCAAACCTCTTTATTTGTAGCTTTACTATATAAATTACAAAATGAAACTTTGATTTGAGCAATACTTTACTAAACGTATACAACCTTTCTTTAAAACCAAACATAACCCTCCTAAATCTACATAAAGCATCACAAACATATTTTTCGAGTAAATAAACAAACACCAGTTCATTGTATTGACCAGCTGTTTCATTAACTAAAGTAAATTAAATCATGTAAACTCTGGAAGCATGCCAGGCTTAGCCCTTTAGAAATCAGCCTGTGGGGCAGAGCCCTTTGGTAATTCGTCCATATCAATACTTTTAGGCAAATCTACACACTCTAAGCTTTATTTTTATATGCCATGTGCCTGTATTTTTATTTGGTAAATGGCCTTAAACGTTTACACAAAATTTGATTGTATCACTTTAATAATATAATAGATAATCCTTGTGAATTCAATAGCCCGAATATAGGTTATACCTTTGAGTATTGACAGAAATAAAGATCCAGTAGAGAAAAAAGTAATTTAGCCAGCACCCCTAAACAGTGCACTGGTGTCAATTATACTGTAAACACTAATTTGTTAATCAGTCTAGCACTATTTATAGTACTATAAATCTTGACTGTAGCATATTTTGTGTCACATAAACTATCACAGTAACAAATATCATGAAAGAAAATATAATTTTGACTAAATCGCACTTTGTAAACTGCGTATATCCGCCAACAAGCGGATCACTTTGAACATCGACTCAAATACTGATAGATCACTGTATTCAACACTATGATTAATCAAACTTATCGTCTAGCAAGCTATGTTCCCTACACCGCCCATCATCAGTCCTCAGTTTCAATATTTACGACGTTTTCCATCCTCAAGTGTCGTCACAGTTTATGGATTGTTTGCAGTAAATACAGGCGTGACTATTGTGTCGTGTTGACAATCTATCGCAATCCTCCTAGTCATCAGCACCAGTTTATTCATCCACCTTCTAACTGCAACTAGCATTACAAATACACCAATTGTTTAGGCAAGCCAAACTAGAAAGACGACGCATTTTTAAACTATAGCATTTTGATAAGAATTTCTGTGAGTAGTTCATTCAACCATGTTATTTTTCCAATAAAACATTGAATACATCTGGTCCATACTGATGGGATGTCAACTTCAATATAGGCCTACAAGTCATTGATTACACTAAACACTCATTACTGTAAATCTAATCTTAAATATCTTTGAAACAAACATACCGGTGGGACATGAACAAAGAAATGGTGAATTTATGAGAGGTCAAGTAGGTCCTATCTAAATAAAAGACTTATTTGCCAAAATCTTTTGTTGTCATTTTTTAAAGGTACATCATTTAATGTAAATGGACAAATTCAAACACTGACATAACAAGGTAGCTTAAGTCAATATGGTAACACTGAAACGAGGCTGTAGGTGTAATAAATGTTGTCGTAAAGCTAGCGGTTTTTATGATAACCCTTTAAAAGTGCGTAAATGTAAGTGTGAGTTGTTTTCGTTTTATATTAAATCTTGGTTCACTATTTTTTACGGTATCCACAATACACTTCATAGGTACGGTGTTACTGTAAAATAATTTTTCTAAGCATACAGCAACAAAATGTCATAAACAAAATACCTCTATACCATAGAAAGTGCGACATAATTATCTTCAGATAAGTATTTGTCAGATTTATTTAGACGTATAGCCAAAATGAATCTTCAAATCTTGCCAACTAAAAAAATTACAAGCTGTGCTAAAGCTTTTGCAACGGAGGGACTAAATAACATAGTTCAATGTTTACAGTAACTCGATATAGCTCATATTTACAACACTGTCTTCTTTGGTTCATATTAGAAAGTACGCAGTTTACGGCAGTGTTCATTACCATACACAAAGAAAACTCACAAAGAAAACTCTTCTGAGATCCAACGGAAGGAAGAAGCTCTTCGAGTTCCTCCCTAAAAAAGATTCATTTGCAAACGCAGCTGGGCAAGATCTGTTTTGCAAATAGGAGGAAGTATCTTTTGCCAAATCCTTTGTAGAGGCCAATGAATGGGCAAATGAATGAAATATTTTAACCCGGGTCGTACTTGGGGTAGTTCGGTTTCAATAAACAGGGCGGAAGAGAGGGAGGCCCACGTGCCACTTCCGCCCCCCTCCCCCACCCCCACTTGGGTGGCAAAGGGTTGGCCTCACCTGGGGTACCACATGTCCCCCAGACGCTAAAAAACTCAAAAAACCGCATCAGTCAGTCGTATATCAAACGTCGGGCCCGCTGTGCCAAATTCATTAAGTCGCGAGGGGGGCTTCTTAAAACAGGGGTCCGAGTGATGAATTCATACACACCCTCTCACTTTGTGGGGGAAGATTAATAGATGTCTATTTTTGGATAGTTTGACAATATTTTTTAAGGTTTTATTAATATTTTCAAATGTGTGATAAAAAAATATGTTTATGCTAGTTACAGTATTAAAAATGTTCAATCTCTTAACGAGTCGACGAATATTATTACAATTATTATTATTGTATGATTATTGTTACGATCCAAGATATGAGTAAACTTTGTATATTTATGATTTGTGTAATATTACATGTCATTCATTCATCATTTGCATTAATTTATCTATTATTTTGTATATTTTCTCCCATAATGTCTGTTAATGCCCCTGATAATGTGTTATTAGTTATTTAATATGTTTCCCCTTGTTAATGTGTTATTTTATCCAATTTTGTTAAATGTTATATAATATCCCATCACCCCACAGAAACATCATCCTATTTTATGTTACAATATAATATTTATGCCAATTATCTCCATATCTATCCTGTACTTATCAAAAACCAACAATAATCATTTATTTATAATAATATATAATTGTAAGAAAATTGCAATATAATAATAACATCTTAAATATAGGGCCTAGTATTACTTTTCAAAATTATCCAAAGAAAATCAAAATTACTG